CCAATGAGATGAATTGGCCAAGTGGCATATATGGACTCAAGTGTGACAACAGTAGTGAGGTTGGCCCAGGATTGGGCCGTGTTTCATTCTGCTGTGCATAAAGTTGCTATAGGTCGGTACTGACTCGATGGCACCTAACAACAACAACAACTAAGTAAGGGGAGAAGGTAAGTTTCTGTCTTTATGTGTTTTTGTTTTAAACATATTTTACTAAAACAAATGATGTCCTGGAAAGAGTAACCAAGAGCAAAAAGTGTTTTTTACAGATTCTGAATTACTTAGCGATAGACTTTCCGGCTGGAAGACTTGGGACAGCCAGCTTTTCATTTCCTTAGCCAAAGCATCTTACACTTCCTCTAGCTGCTTTGATGTGCACCATCATTCAACCCTGACTGTTCCATCTGTGTGACCCTCACACCTTGCAACAGTTTTCCTGTAATTTACAAACAGCTTTTACAGCTCTAGCGCTGAGATTTGACAGAGCACTTGGAATAAGTTGGGCTGAGGCCTAAAAGGCCTTTCAACATCGTTCTCCACCTACTTCTTGGATCACCTTCTTTTATTTCATTGATCTCCTTTTCAGTTCTGCTGCCAGGCCATCTCACTTGGTCAGGAAACACCCTTTATCTCCCTCTGGTAGAGGGTCATTCACTGTCCAACACTGCCTTGTTAACCGGTTTATTGTCTTTCCTGGGGGTCTCACGGCTAACTTCCAGTTTCCCAGCAATGCTGGGAATTATGAACATTACTCATCCCAGGCAATATGCATACACTGGGTGAATGCAACTAGGGCCTCCTCGAAGACGTTTCCGCCTGAGAAATACACCGACGTTACAGTACCTACTTAGCTTTGGGAGCTTTGTCTCCGGCGCGGGCTCAAACCGCGCTCACGAGGCGAAGCGGGACTTGGCACCCGGTAGCCCCCTCTCGTGCAAGCCGATCCTGGGGCGGGTCGGGCGGGTAGTAGAGTTCGTTATTGGCAAAAGCAGTACTGAGACACGGGTACGGGAACCCACAGCGGGTCGGGGGCCATGCCCGACTGCGGCAGGTAAGGAAAAGTGTAGGCACACAAGCCTCGGACACACAAACCAGGCTCCGTGGAAGTGACTTTGGGCTCTGCAAATCCGTGACCTTAGTACTCGGCTGTCTGGGGCGATTAGCTCGGACGCGCCTTAGTGAGAAAGGGGGCAGGCGACTCAGAGGTAGGGAGCGACTGAGGGCTGAAACTGTTCATTTAAGGTTGGAAAGCAAGGTGGAAAAAGGGATGTGGTGGGTAGGAGGTAAACCACCACTCCGAGCCCGGGATCCCATATGGAGAACTGACTGCCACCACTCCCCTCCTCCAGTCTAGAAAACGGTTTGAAGGAGGACGCATGCGCATGAGATTAAACTAAACCGCTGAGGCGTAATCTTACTTCGCGGGACAGCGCAGGCGCAAAAAATACCAACACTCAAACCTGGCAGGTTTATGAAAACTGGGACTAAACCCGAAATGTTGGCGCGCAATAATCTGATGGCGGGAGGCGGGACCGCTCGTAAAATTACGTTTGTGTTCCAGCACTGAATGACGCAAGGGGGCGGTGCGGACACTTGTCTGCGCGTGCGCAGAATTTGCTCAAAGGGCCTTATTTAGGTTGCGCAGGCGCCGGCTGGCCATTTCGTCTTAGTAGCACCGAAGTTGTCAGTGCAGGTAAGTGTTCGGCGATCATTATTTGCCTCCCACCACCCTCCAAAGAAACCGTTTTTACAAGGATTGCTTGAGGCTAGACCCCCAGTATATCATGGGTGCCCCGGAAAGTTGCGGGCCGCCTCCAGGCTCTAGGAGTGGTCCGCTGATCGTTGGCGGGGCCGCCTGGGCCTGCAGGCCGCGCGCCTCTATTGTGTGAGATGTCGGAGGAGGCGGAGCGGAAGCGGCCGCCGCCATTTCCTTGCCTTCACGCTGGCGTCAGGCCTGGAAGCCTTATGCTTGGTGTAGCGGTACTTGGTGTCCAGATCTGTTGGGCGGTTCCGATCTTTGGCTAAGGGGTGTTGGGCGGTTGAAGTCGCTGGGATTGGGGTTTGCGCGTGTTTGGGCCCTACTGAGATTTGCGGGCCCGCGGGGATCTTAGAGGGTGGAGAGTTGTTTAATTAATATTTCTCAGGTCTGGTCCTCATCACCACCTCGTAGTCTTATTTCGACGCCAGGACTCCTAAGAGACGATGATGTTGGGCACTGAAGGCGGAGAGGGATTCGTGGTGAAGGTCCGGGGCTTGCCCTGGTCTTGCTCAGCCGATGAAGTGCAGCGTTTTTTTTCTGGTGAGTTTGAAGCAGGCGGCGGAGCTCGAGGACCTGGCAGACCGGCGGCCGAGCGGGCTGGAGCGCGGGTCGGGGCCGGTCGGGCTGGGGCGCCCCCTAGTGGGGCGCGGGCGCAACGGTTCCGCTCGACTGCTTTCACCCGGCCCGCGGCTGTTACGCAATGGAAATTGAAAGAGTCCCGCCCTCCTGGCTTCGGGCCCCCTCTTGGGAGAGCGGCCGCCTTTTTGTTCTCTTTGCCTAAGCTAAGTACCAGACTTTCCATTGTATGCTCCTGCCTTGGTTTCTTAAAAAATATATGGAGATCGGTGAGAATTCTCTCCCTCAATCTTGAGAAAATTGTCCAGTGGTTGGGCCAATTATAGCATTATCTTGCAACGTTCCTATTGTACCGAGACCTTTCCAGCTTTGTCTTTGTTTCAGAAATTTTCCTAATCAAGCGTGATTTGAAGAGTTCATGCTTGATGAGACAAATTTATGCAATTAAGAAGTGACATTTTAATTTCTGAAGCAGATGCTGCTTCAGAATGATGCTGTTCAAGGAAATAACCAAAATTAGAAAGGTATCAGTACACTAAGAACATTGCAAGATAAAAAGCTTTCTGCTTCAGAAGTTTCACGTGTCACTTTTTAATTTCAGAAATTTTCCTAATCAAGCCTGCTTTGGTAATTGATGAGTTCTTGTTCATCTAGTTCTTGATCTGGCTCACTTTACCGTTGAGGACACTGAAGCCCAGGAAAGTTTTCTTCCCTATGTAGCATATAGCTTTCTTAAAAATATGTAGGCTTTTTTTTTTGCAATTTCTGCTGGAATGTCCTTTGTTTCCATGGTAAAATTAGAATAATGAAGTTGTATGCTGAAAGATACTTGTAGTATTGACTTACTATCTGAATTTAGCATTGGGAAAGGAAAACGACCTGTAAAACGAGAAAGCCAAGTACACTGGAAGCCACCTTGCAAGGGGGCAAGACTACTTTGACTTTGGCTTCAGCAGTGCATCTTGAATCATTTTAGCTTGGTAACCCTGATCCCCTTTCAGGTGAGTGTTTGAATTTGAATGAGAAGGTAAAAGGGTAAGGTACAATGGACTTAATACCCCAGACCAAAACTAGAATTAGATGCACCAGATTTTGTAGTTTGTTGCTGCGAAGTTGACGGAGTCATTGATCTTGGACTAAAAGAGCTTCTAAGAAGCTGCTTTGACTATTGAATCTTCCTGATAGATTGGAAATACATCACTTAGGGAATGAAATAGTTTGAAAGTGGATGGCTGCATAATTGCCAGAAAGACAAAATAGAAATTCGTAATGTCTGTGGGTATAGGCTTTATAAGTGTTCTACTTAAAATGGATCGGCATTTCCTCGGTATTGTGTATCACCCAGAGGTGGTTTTTTTTTTTTTTTTTTTTTTTTTTTTATAGTTTTAAGTTTTGTAGTAACGGTCGTTTTCTTTCCAGACTGCAAAATTCAAAATGGGGCTCAAGGTATTCGTTTCATCTACACAAGAGAAGGCAGACCGAGTGGCGAGGCTTTTGTTGAACTTGAATCAGAAGATGAAGTCAAATTGGCCCTGAAAAAAGACAGAGAAACTATGGGACACAGATATGTTGAAGGTTTGATTTATGTTGCCCTAGTAACAGTAAATAAAACACATAGCTCTTATCCCCTTCTGAATTTTAGGTATTTGACCGCATGGAAATATGGTCATCTAAGGGAGTTTATGGCTGCTCTTCTAGCTTATCTAAAGACCCAGGAAGTCTGAACTTTGTTTTCTAACTTTCCAAAATTGACTAATTCTAAGCACCTCTTTCAGTATTCAAGTCAAACAACGTTGAAATGGATTGGGTGTTGAAGCATACTGGTCCAAATAGTCCCGACACTGCCAATGATGGCTTTGTGCGGCTTAGAGGACTCCCCTTTGGATGTAGCAAGGAAGAAATTGTTCAGTTCTTCTCAGGTATGTAGTGGTGTTGGTTGCTGAGCAGTGAGTTTTGGCTAGCTTCTGGCAACATGTGACTTAATAGACCCTTAATGTGGCATAGCTTAGATGCTTACATTGTAAAGCCGTATGCACATGAATTGTTTTCTTCCTGGAGACCTTCAAATAACTTAAGCCCATCTTAAAGGTGGAAATATAAGTACTGCCAAAGTGCTAACAGTTGCCTATAATAGTATTGTAATTTAGAGTAGATGATCAAGGGTTGTCCTCATCAGCTTAATGTCTTTCTTCATACTACTGTTTAGCAAAGTACTCCAAGTTAAAGGTAAGCTCCCTTGCTGTTAGACTGATGTACAAGTTAGGTTGTTATTTATGGCAAGTGTCTTAGATATCAGACACTTAACATTGATCATGGAACCAGAAACATCTCATGGCCTAATTCTCTATACAAAGAGCAACTTGGTTTAGCCAGGGAACTATAAACTATGCACTTAACTGGAAGTCAATCTAATGTAGTAGTGATCATAGATAAGGCCGTCTCTCAGTGTCTTAAAAGTATTTTGAAATTGTTCTGGGCCTAAAGTATTTGAATGTTTTTATGCTGAAGAATTAATAAGATTGCATGTTTAGCAGAATGTTACAATATATTTATTGAATATTAGTTTCAATTTTCATGATGTAATAAACTGGAATTTAAAGCAAGAAATCCTTTCATGGTTTAGTGTAGTATGTACTAAAATCATGACTATTAGTTATGTATCAAGTTTTAATCCTGTCAGAATATATGAAATCAAGTCTGTTTTGATTGTTTTTATCTAAATTGGTGAGAATTGAATGTTGTCAACGTTAAATATGAACATAATTTCATATTTTCTAGGAAGTGCTTTTAAGCCCTTTTTGTAAGCTTGGGATTGTATCCACGGAAAGGATTTTTCATAGACGGAATTTCCAGAAGTGAATCATACTACTGTTAGAGCATATAAAAGTGCATGATTGTGTTGTGCAGATCAGTTGTTTGTTGAAAGTTTAGATTGTATGTTTTCTTGTCAATTAAATAATTTAAGCAATGTTTCAATTTGTATATTGATGTTTAAACGTGTAAATGTTTTAAACTTGAAGTTCCACTAAAAGCATTGAAGTATAGAATGAGATCAAGTGTCTTGAGTTTAGTAAAATGTTGTATTTAATGCTTGAAACTATTAAATTTTTGTATGATTCTCAACATTAAAGTTGTATAGATACATGTTCTTAATTGTTGAATTCTTAATGCACCCTGTGCTAAACAAGTCTTCTATCTTGTACCATGGGATGTGTTAAGAATTACTTTGTTAACAGTGGAACTTCATATTACTGCAATGCATATTTAAACAATATTTGTTGAAAGCATACCATTCACCTAAAGTTAAAATTCTGGTTTATTTAAAGCTGTAAGAAGAATCATTTCTGGGCTTGTGATGTTAATATTGCCCCCCTACTGGGGTTATTTGTCCTTGGGTTGAAGGGTTGGAAATCGTGCCAAATGGGATAACATTGCCGGTGGACTTCCAGGGGAGGAGTACGGGGGAGGCCTTCGTGCAGTTTGCTTCACAGGAAATAGCTGAAAAGGCTCTAAAGAAACACAAGGAAAGAATAGGGCACAGGTGGGGATGGATGGTTGGTTGGATATGTCACTTTTCTTATGGTAAACAATTAAATCCATATTCTCTCTGCCTAAAAGGAAGAAATCTTATTTCATAATCCCAATTAATTGATGTCTCGCCACAATTTTCAAACAGCCTATTTAAAAAGTCCCACATTGCATACAAATTATGTTATGAAATTGTCCCTAATTAATTTGGCCTTGTTGAATTTTGAAAGCATTACCACTTATTAACCCCAGTCACTGGAGTTGAGAGACTATGGCTTTAAAAGAATGTTAATGCAAACCTGGCTTTAGCTGTAATAACACCCACCTAGTAAATTAATATTACCATAAGAAAATGTGATACTTTCTGATCTTGTTTTTAAAGTTGAAATGCAACAAACTTTTTCTTGCTGTATAAATATTCTGCATATGTATTAATAAGCATAGCTTTCAAGAAATTGTCACAAAAGGTTTTACTCTCTTTGCTTGTGACTATTTTTCATTGAAGCATGCGCTTACCTATGCTGATTCCTACTAAAAGCATAGGCTGGGATATTGGCAAAAAGGAAATGTGTAGTGTGGGCTAGACTGTTGGTGAAGGCTGGCTTTTTAGCCCACTTGCTATACGTGCTGCCAATGGATTTAAGATTTGAAATGTTGAAAGTTGAGTGGAATTCTTTCCCTCCTATGAAACATTTAAAGTACTCCTCTCTATACCACTAAGGTTGGGTTCCTTATGCCCAAGAGGAATGAGGTTTTTTTTAAAAAACAATAAAATAAATAAATAAATAAAAGTTTACATTAAATAATCATAAGAGTGAATTTCTGGTCATTGCCTATGCAAATATAAGAAACCTGGCTTAAAATATTTGTCAGTTTCATGGCTATGACTAGATTGTTTTCTTATGCCCAAGAGGAATGAGGTTTTTTTTAAAAAACAATAAAAAAAATAAATAAATAAAAGTTTACATTAAATAATCATAAGAGTGAATTTCTGGTCATTGCCTATGCAAATATAAGAAACCTGGCTTAAAATATTTGTCAGTTTCATGGCTATGACTAGATTGTTTTCTTGTGTAATTAAATACATGTATGAAATGGACTAATTGTTTTTCTCCCTCCCGATCCTCCTCCTCATGATCAATGTTTTAGGTATATCGAAATCTTTAAGAGCAGTCGAGCTGAAGTTAGAACTCACTATGATCCACCTCGAAAACTTATGGCCATGCAGCGGCCAGGTCCCTATGACAGACCTGGGGCTGGCAGAGGGTACAACAGCATTGGCAGGGGAGCTGGCTTTGAAAGGATGAGGCGTGGTGCTTATGGTGGAGGTAAGTCATGATGTGTTGAGATCATGAAAGATGTTGTTTATATCGGTTTGCATTTGATTGACTTTTTTTTTGTCTTTTTTAGGCTATGGAGGCTATGATGACTATAATGGCTATAATGATGGCTATGGATTTGGGTCAGATAGATTTGGAAGAGGTAAAGTAAGAATTGAATTTATCAGCTGAAAGGTACTTACACATTTGTCCATCTAGACCTCAATTATTGTTTTTCAGGAATGTCTGATCACAGATACGGGGATGGTGGTTCTACTTTCCAGAGCACAACAGGACACTGTGTACACATGCGGGGATTACCTTACAGAGCTACTGAGAATGACATTTATAATGTGAGTATAAGGTGAACTCTACAAGGCAGATACTTTTATAGGGCAGTAGAAACCTGAGCCATACCCAACTTGTAAAGCAGCACTCTATTAAAAACACTTTAAGTTTTTTTGTAGCTTCAGAAAGCTAACTTGGTTTTTGAAATACCTTGCATTTAGTTTTTTTCACCGCTCAACCCAGTGAGAGTACACATTGAAATTGGTCCAGATGGCCGAGTAACTGGTGAAGCAGATGTTGAGTTTGCTACTCATGAAGATGCTGTGGCAGCTATGTCAAAAGACAAAGCAAATATGCGTAAGTGTGTCTTTAGTGTGGGGGGGCTCTTTATAGGTAGCTGTGTTGTGGGCACCTTGCAGTTGAGTGATATCTTCCAGTATGTGTGATAAAGGAATAAGGAGGTGGTGGGGAGGGTTCCTGTTGTATAAGATAAGTTGTGGATTTTTTTTTTTTTTTTAAGTATGACTAAAAAGAGATCTATGATGATATTTACTTGAAGTATGTATATCCTTGATGGGTAGTTAAATCAGATGAATATTTTTAAAAGACTAGTGTTTGAAACTCAGTTTAAATAAATCTAAGAGAAGCAACTAGAAGTTTTTTTTACCTGAGTATTTGGAGTTCACAGATCTCCTTATAAAAGAACTAAAATGCTTATTTTTGTTTTCTTTCACCAGAAAACATTTTTCAAACATTTTTCTCTCATTTCAGAACACAGATATGTAGAACTCTTCCTGAATTCTACAGCAGGAGCAAGCGGTGGTGCTTACGGTAGCCAAATGCTAGGAGGCATGGGTTTGTGTAAATATCACTTTAGTGTCTTTTTCTTTGCTTTTTTTTTTAAAGCTAACCTTTGTATGCCTTTTCTCTCATTTCAGAACACAGATATGTAGAACTCTTCTTGAATTCTACAGCAGGAGCAAGCGGTGGTGCTTATGGTAGCCAAATGATGGGAGGCATGGGCTTGTGTAAATATCGTTAGTTTTTTTAAAATCCAAAACACACCTTTATAAGTCAGTTACATGAGTTAATCTTATTTAGTGAGTTTAGCCTAACAGTTGTAAGTTTGTTAGGCAAGGGAAAGTTCTCTTGATTTGGAACTAAATTATTGTGTGTCTGACTTTACTGTTCAGTTAACAAAAAACAGATAATTTTGATTACTTGTATTTGGGGGAGAGGGGAGTACATGAAACTAGTTAAATTGCATACGTCTTAACATTTTAAATGTTATTAGCACAGGACAAAAATGAGTTGGCATAGTGGGTATAATTAGTTGGGCATAATTGGGTATTCGTATACTAAATATATTGATAAATTGTAATACATGAAATTAAGAGTTAGAATCCCACTAAAACCAAGCAGTTTTATAAAACCTTTACCAAATGCTCTGTTTAATGGGATCATGTGAATTTAGTCTTGTTGATGTGTGTAGTGTAGGTTTATAAATGTTTGATAAAAAATGATGGATGGAGTCTCAGAGGATTATAGTAATAATTAGATAGAAAATCAGATGTAGAAATCACAGGCCCGGTACCACCCCAACTATTACATTGGGGACATAGTTCTAATGCTTTCTCAACTTTACAGCAAACCAGTCCAGTTACGGTGGCCCAGCTAGTCAGCAGCTGAGTGGTGGCTATGGGGGCGGCTATGGTGGTCAGAGCAGCATGAGTGGATATGGTAAGCATGGCTCTTTATATATACTTCATAAAGAAGTTTTAGGCAGGTTTCTTTAGTTGGGAATAACACAGCTTCTTTTTGGGTGAGATTGGGTTATTAAATAAATGCTTTTGCCCTTAATAACTTTTTTGTAGTTACAAGTTTTAGAAACAAACTTGGGGAGGAGGGTGGGGATTCTTCTATTATAAATTAGTCATTGCACTGGAATTCTGTCAAGCCAGAAACATCTGCCTCCATTTATTAAAAAATGGTAGTTCATATTGTGTCTTTTGGTTAGCATTAAACCAGTTTCAGATGGAGGAACAATTTTAAGTAGTAGGATAGTGGGTGGGATTCCAGGACTGTATTTATTAGTCTGTTTAGATTGGTTTTATTAATTTTTTTCAATTGGTCTAAAGAATGGTGATTTTGGTATTGTAGTCTTACCTACAAAATCCTTTTGCAGACCAAGTTTTACAGGAAAACTCCAGTGATTTTCAATCAAACATTGCATAGGTAAATATTTTCTCAAGAAATATAAATTCCCAATAGAAAATACTGATGTTGTGATAGCTTTCCATAACAGTCAATGGCTCTGACTTAAACTTTGGAGGCTGCCATTTTGGGCACAATGAGTTGCCTTGAAACCACCTCACTTCTGCCCACCATGAATGGGGAAAGCAAGAGACTTCCCCCTGTGCTCCCTATTCTATTCATATGGACACACAGAATTTTGTTTTTGTTTTATTTTTTTGTTTTTATTTTTTATTTTTGGAAATGCCCTGTTAAGCTTTAAAAACAAATGGAGTAATTTTTGCAATTTTTGAAAAACACTAGTTTTCCTTTAAACTTAATTTTTCACGTTGAGTGTAAAAGAATCCATTTAAATGGTAGCACAAGTGTCTGGCAAGTTTGGTACTGTGAGAAAAGGGTCATTTGAGACTTGCTTGTAGTCCGGTTTCTCCCTTTCCCTAACATGCTTCTTTCGCTACTTGGACAGCAGCCATTTGTATTCTTAAAACTTGTAAAACTTTTTTTCTTGGAATACGGTGTTTAATTTGACTGATACTGTGACACTTCCTTAACTTGTTAATTGATCTTTTTGCAGATAGCCAAGGAGCAGTGGACAGCACCTACTACAGTGGTGGAAGCCATGCATCTACAGAAGTGAATGGAATGGGAGGGATGTCTAGCATGTCCAGTCTGAGTGGTGGATGGGGAATATAATCTTGATCACTGACTCTTGGGCAACATTATTATTATTATTATTATTTTTTTTTTTAAGAAAAAGGAAAAACAAACAAACAATAGTTTAACAGTTTTGCAATACAAGCTTGTTGAGATTCATGCTTACTCTAAGTGGAAATCAGGATTATTTTGAAAAAGTGTTCAGTGTTTTTGAACACAAAACATATAACAACGAAGTTTGAGCAAACAATAACTGTTAAACAATTTTCAGCTTTTCTCAAGTTAGTTGTAGATTGTATTTAAGCAGTACAGCGTATTTAGGTTAAAAACAGTTCAATTATGTTAAATGTTACTCTTATACCATATTATATTGAACACTGAATGCATATTGAAAGACATGCCATTTTTTTGTAAACTCAAATATAGGAGCTATGTCTACAATTAAAAGTGAAACATTTGGCATGTTTGTTAATTCTAGTTTCATTTAATAACCTGTAAGGCACGTAAGTTTTAAGTTTTGTTTTTTAAGTTAACTGGGAAAATGAGACGCAATACCAATACTTTAGGATTTTGGTCTTGGTGTTTGTATGAAATTCTGAGGCCTTGATTTAAATCTTTCATTGTATTGTGATTTCCTTTTAGGTGTATTGCGCGCTAAGTGAAACTTGTCAAATAAACCTTTTAAAAACTGCAATCTGTCTTGTCTATGCTTCAGTGTCATGTGGACTGTTTGTTGATGCTCTTATTCCTGCCTGGGGCGTAGGTGGCAGTGTAGCTGTGGCAGAGGGCTCCACAGTTGAGGCTGTTGTGTACATGTCTTCAGACTTCTTTCCTTCGGTACAACTAAGGTAACATAGCTTGGGGTCTTTTTTGGAAGGGTTGTGTACATTGTTTGGCCTGACTGCATGTGACCTATGCACTTAGTTCTCTAAAAGCATTTGCACAAAGCCACGGAAGAGGTGCCTCAAGTGGACTTAACTGCATGGCATGCATGTCCACAGAAGGCATGACTGAGGAAGAAGCTACTGTTTCGATTTCATGGTTTTCTAATTTGGTTTATGGTGGGGTCTGTCTTTCAAGTTGATGAGTCTAAAAATTGAGTCGATCTCCTATAAATCTGAAATGTATCAGTTGTAATATTTGTTTTCAACTCAAGTGGTATTTTCTGGGAAGTAAGTTGAATTCAGCAGTTCTTAAAGATGTGCCGTCAAGCCAGTTCTGACTCATTGCTACCGTGTATAGGGTTTCTGAGGAGCAGCTGTTGGTTTGAATTGCTGACCTTGTGGTTTGCAGTTCAGTGTTGATCCTACAGTACCACACCAGGAGTCCTCTTAAAGATGTGGCCCCCAGTTATTTTCAACAGTGCTGAAAGTTTTCTCAGGTTGGTTCTTTGGTATCGCTGTGACTTAGATTTTACTTGAAAATTGGCCACCTTGGCTACAGTTGGTAGCCTACACTGCATGTGAAATACAGGCATAAAGGGCCCTGCAGATGGATGCTCCTTCCCTATTGCATGCAATGTATACACATTTGTCCACATTGGACACCAGTAGAGAGAAAGGCCCAGTTCAGGCTAATGAATTAGAAATGTTTAAATGTCAATGGAGCTTTTGTCTTCTTACAGGTCTAGACTGCAAGAGAGTGTTGACAGCTGGCATTCAGCTAACTGTTCTAAGCCTGGTATTGCTGCTGAGATCGTAGCCAAGTTCCTCCGTAATTGGTACCACAGACATCGGGTGGTGAGAAGGGCCTCAAGCGTTAGTCTCTTGCCCTAGATCCCTCAATTGTTCTAAATACAGGAGCAAGGGAAGATGTTTGTCGACATCTTCCAGCTGGAAGAATAGCAAGGGACTTAGTAAAGATAAGTGAATGAGTCAGAGCCATGACTTTTTTTTAAGGGTCTAGAACCTGGTGCCTATGAGAACCTGTGTGTTCCATGGACTATCTTCACTTGGTTGCTTGTTTTAAGAATGACACACTCCTGACTCTTAGATCAAGATCTGCATTTGAAACAGACTCCACTGCCCCCCTCAGGTGATTGATGCACATTTAGGCTTAAGCAGCACTCTGCCTTAACTTCTATTCTCAGATGCTTAGTTTAGAAGAAGGGGGTGCTAAGATACCAAAGGGATCCGAAGTTCAGGTATAGAAATTGAGCCGAAAAGTGAAATATTGGTATCTGTTGTGAATGCTTGCTGTTGGTGTTTATATTGTCATGAAAGCAGAGAAACGCCAGTGAGCACTCATGGCAGGCAGCAGTGGGAGCTTTATGTACTTGAGAACTTCCAAAGGGTCTTAGAAGTAGGGCAGTATCACCCTGCTTCCGTTTTTGTGTGCAGATAAAAGTTAAGGCTCAGAAGTGAAGTGACATACCTAAGGCTTCTTAGCAATTTGGAATACATATTGGGTATACTGAAAACAAGGTTACAAGTAAGTGATAATAAAATAATTTTGGGGTACTGCATTGAGATTAAAAAAACAAAGCTGTTCAAGTTAAGCGAGGGAATGGGGAATGGACTACCCTGCTGTTGAGTCCCTTTAGCCATCATATACTTTAAAATTGTGTGAAAACCTTTATCTAGAAAAGGATAGATTAGCAAGGACTTAGTTTGGGACTGGGCAGCCTTCATTATGTATCCTGGCTGCTGTTCCTTAGCTGTAGTATCTGGGATAAATCCTGGATTCCTGTCTCGGCTAGTCTCCCTTCAATACTTTAATTGAAACCAATGCTGATCAGGCCCAGGTGAGCTTTACAAGGAAAAGTGCTCAACAAGTCATGTTTTTAGAACCTGGGAGCAGAGGGGTGTGGGTGGAGAAGGGAGAGTTTTTAAGAAAGGATTTCCTGGGACATGAAGTAACAAAATGTCAGTCTGGCTTTAGAGGGGAGGCAGAGGGATGAGGCTCCAAAAGACTTGTCTGATGTCCAGCTATTCTGCTTGTTTGTATTCTGAGAATTCAAGCTACCAATATGCTAATGCTCAAGACTAAGGATTGGGAAAGTGATCAGTCCTTGAGATTAGAAAATGACTGCCTGTGATGTGCTTTTTCTACCAACTCTTCTCAGTGAGCAAACTTGAGCTTCAGGGTCAGTTCTTTCTACCCACTGATGTTGGTACATGCCCATTGTGTGTTACAGCCCCCAACATAGTCTTGCCTCACTTGGCACACCGCACACCTTGTGCCCCATAGCCAGTGGACTCAACTCTAACCTAACGTTAGAAAACTGTTAGCCCAGCTCTTCATCTCCATAGCTTCTGAGATGAGGCCACCCATTCTAGATCCAGCTAGAGGGTATGACCAGCAAGCTGTTGAACAGTAGACACAAGCTCATTTTCTGTACCAGAGTGAAAATAACCGATTTTATTGAGGGCCAGTGCTAGGTATTAACAAGGATAAGGATGTGGGTGGAATGATGAACCCCCCTAAAGCAGAGAAGGCACACTGCCAGGTGTAGTGTAAAAAGTGGCTTTCTTGAAAGGAGGGTAAGGTGAGAGGGAAGAATAAGATTAATTTCATCCTAGAATGACAGGAGAGGTTAGATCTTTGAAAAGTTTAAAGTGATGATAGCAAAACCATTAAGTTCCATCGGATCAAAACCCAATGATACAACCAAGTGAGGAGTTTCCATCCAGAGGAGATAGGCATCCAGCGTCCAGTTTCCGTTGTGCTATCTTTAGCGCTCCAGCAGGCCAGGCAAGCATTTTATTTTTTCCCTCTTGATTTCTCATGGGAAATAAGCGTTCTAAAGCCTGGTGTTTTCCCTGAGACCTGAAGAGTTTGGCACTGTTGTAGGCTGCAGCTGCCACTCCTGGAGGCTGGAGGTCAGGTCAGGGTGGTCCTTAGGAAGCAGTGGAGGAACAGCGCTGCAGAAGCAGAGTGTGGCAGCTGTCGCACACCCGTACTGGCTTGGGGTAAGATGGCAGGGCTAACTCGTTGCTGGAGCATGTGTTGCAGAAGATGTGACCACAGTTGCGGCAGTGGTGCTAGGAGGCAAAGGAAATGCATTTACGGTCCATCTGCCCTATATTGGAACCTTTTAAATCCTATTTTAATACCTAAGCATCCCAGATCCTAGACCTAGAGACAATAAGCAATTTGGATGGAGTTTTACCCGCCTTTTCTCTTTGCTCCTATGTTTATATTCCCATAAAATTATGTGTGCACTTGCAGGGTGTATTTTGTTCTTTAACAGTTTTAATTATAGCTCTTTGACCATAACTGCAACATCCATAACGGTCTTGAGTGGGCCTGTGTTAACGTACCATCTCTGCTGCTCCTGGATCCAGCCCAATCTGCTGTATTAGACTACTTCCAAGGAATCCACCAAACGGGGCACACCTCAAATTGGACCATTTCAGGCCTCATGGACAAGTGTGATCTCTGGGACAGTCCCAGGAGGGTGGTTTTTAGATCCACTGCCTAGAATTTAGGAGAGTTCTTGTTTCCTCTCTCACAGATAACTGCCTATAAACACTGCAAGCAGGTAATATAATTCACCTGGTATATTTGGGGGGAGGCTGTTGTCCCAAAGGATCCCTATAAAGCCTATTTGGCAAATTAGCTACACTTCAGTGATACTTTTGAGAAAGGGACAGCCTATGACAATTGGCTGGTCTTCAGAAGGACATGTCTGATAGCTGCAGCTGGCAGGGTGACTTTGGTGGCAGAGCAGTGAGAGCAATCCCAGTGACACACTGCCTATAGTAGTGCAGCATGGGAAAAGCTGGGGCGCATAACTCAAGTCCCAGGTCACCCCACATACCTTCCTCCGGGAAATTGAGAACTCCTTTTCACATTGCTTACAGTGTGTTGCTTCGTCATCTTTCAGCCAAGTGTGGCCCTGGGAAGGGAAAAAACCCCAGCAAATTCCATTTTATATCTCTGGCTATATAACCCCTTCCTGAGAGACCTTTTAAGGTCTCCATTAGATGTGGCCTAACAACGCCTGTGTTGAAAGAGCCCTTCCTCAGCCTTAGCCACAGCTGAGTATGTTCAGCTGAGGACATGCCCAATTTTGCCTCTGGAGACTGCCCAAGCCAGATTCTTCAGCCTCCTGTTGACTTGAGAGATTCACCCATACCCTTCTAAATAAATCCCTTTTGGTTGAGGTAATGAGTCAGATTCTGTTCCTTACAGCCCCCAAACCCTGAGACATCCAAAGGGACTTGCTGTACTGACAGGAGGAAGAAAGGCCTACAAGAGACTAGAAAAATCTACACTATTCCCTGCAGAAGGCCACTTTCAGCAGAGAACATCCCCTTAGCCCATAGGAAGCCCCCATATGCTGAATACCTTCTGTAAAGTCAGAAACAGCTGTTAGATGCCATCAGGCCACACCAATTCACAGCAACCCTATGTACCAGAGGACAAAACATTGCCCTTGAGCCCACCACTGCTGCCTGGGTACCAATATAGCTCCTTTTCTCTGACCCTCCACTTTACCAATTATCCTGGGACTGGTCCCTCTTGACAATATGTCCAAAATATATGAGAGGCTGTCTGGCCATCCTGGCTGTACTTCCAACTCAGATTTATTCTTTGGCAGTCCCTGCTACTTCTAAACTGTAACTCAAATGTATCCATTATTCACTGTCCAACTTTCATATGCATATGAGGTTTTTGAAAATACCATGGCCTGAGTAAGGTGCACCTTAGTCTACAAACATATCTCTGCTCTTGAACACTTAAAAAAGGTCTGTGAGCAGATCGGTGTAATGCAGTACATCATTTGATTTTCTAACTTTTGCTTTCATGAGTGTTGATGGTTAATCTCAGCAAAATTAAGTCTTTGACAATTTCAGTCTTTTCTCCATTTATCATGATGTTAACCTATGGGTGCAGCGATGAGGATTTCTGTTTTCTTTACATTGAGGTGCAACCCATGTGGAAGGCTGTGTGTGGTCTTTGATCTTAATAAATGTTTTAAATCCTCTTCCCTTTCAGCAAACAAGGCTTATCGCAGGTTGTTAATGAATCTTCTTCTAATCCTGATCCCATGTTCTTCATATAAGCCAACTTCCCAATATCTGCTCAGCATCCAGACTGAATGTAAAAGAAGAAAACACCCCTTTCCTGATTTAAAACCATTCTGCGTCTCCTTCATCTGTTTGAATAACTGCTTCTTGGTCTATGTACAGGTTCGTCATGAGCACAAGTGTTCCAGAATATTCATTCTCCACAATGTCATGATTCATACAATCGAAAGCCTTTGCATAGTCAATAAAGCATAGGTAAACATCTTTCTGGTATTATTTCAGCTAAGATCCATCTGACATCAGCAATGATAATACCTAGTTCCATGTCCTCTGAATTTGGCTTGAACACCTGGCAGTTCTCTGTCAATGAACACTTGTAGCTGTTTTTGGGTTATCTTGAGCAAAATTTTACTTGTATGCGAGATACTAATGATACTGTCCATCGGGTCACCGCTCTTGTAGTGGGCACAAATACAGATCTCTTCCTGTCATTTGGCCAGGTAAGTTGTGTTTAAAATTTCTTGACATAGATGAGTGGATTCAGTTTGTTGAAAGATTTCAATTTGTTTCCATCAATTCACAGTCTTGTACTTTGCCAATGCTTTCAATGCACCTTGAGCTTCTTCCTTCAGTATCACTGGCTCTTGATTGTAGGCTGCCTCTTGAAATGGTTGAACATTGACCATTTCTTTTTGCTATAGTGACTGTATTCCTTCCATCTTTTGTTTTCTGCATCAGGAAATAGCTCTACAGAGGCACAATTGAGGTTCTGGAAGATGACTGAGGTCATAAAGGGAAAATAAGGATCTATGACATATTGCCTCCAGGATTGAGATGTCCCAGGAGTCCAAGGCGTGATGTAGCATGTGTTGGATGTGACACACAATTGTCCTTATGATTGCAAAGGACAGTTCCATGCCATTGGGCTATAAGACATGCCCAGGGCTTTGATCCTTAGATAAAATAGCTCCTGTAACTCTACTGTAAAGTCACTGTTGTTAAGTGCCATCGAGTCGGTTTCGACCCATGGCTACCTTGTATAGGGTTTCCAAGGAGCAGCTGCTGAGTCTGAACCACTGACCTTGAGGGCTATCTTTTAGTGTGCAGACATCTGTGGGTGGCACGGATACAGCTCCCAGCATTACATTCGAGAAGCTTTCAATATTTACTATGATAACAATTCACTAGGAGGCATTGATGACTGATAGAATTCTGTCTCCCATGCAGGAGACCAGGAATGTGGTGACTCTAAAGGATAATAAACATTGGATTGTGAACCACAAGGTCAGCGGTTCAAACCTGTCAGCTGCTCTGCAAAGACAGCTTTGGAAACTTTATACAGGGTTGCTGAGTTAGAACCAACTTGGTATGCAGTAGAGGGGTTGGATTTCTCGGCCAATGCACCTCATTCATTGACAGTGGTGGAGACTTACACATTGCTGTGATGCTAAACAATTTTCAGCAGAGCTTCCAGAATGAAGGCCTGGTGATCTACTTCTAAAAATTGAGGGTGGTGGGATTTGGCCAGTGAAAATGCACTGGATGACCACAGTCTGATCCTTGTCTCATGAAGATGCTGCAGGGCTGGGTGTTTTTGTTCTGGGTTGCCCTGAGCTGGTATCCTCGTTTGGATAACAACAAACGAGGAGTCTGGACTGTTCTTATGAAATCAGACAACCATCATTAAACATGCATGTATAAAGCATGCAAGTAAATTCTGACTGGGGGGTGTGTGTGTCTCTGCTCTGAAACAATAAGCAAACCCACTGTAATGAAGTCAGTGACAGGGTGGAAGTGGTTCTTTAGGGTTCCTGAGATGAACTCCTCACAGGAGTGGACCACCTCATCTTGCTCCTGTGGGAACAACTGGTGGGCTTTCATAACCAACTTTGTGGTTTAGCAGCCCAGTGCATGACCCACTGTGCCAACAAGGCTCCTTTGCCATGTGGAAGGGGACATACAGACTGAGGCCAAAGAGTGGAAGCTGACTTTAACAGGGTGGGTAGGTGGTGGTCACTTCCTGTTGAGGTGGCCTGCTGTGAAAGCCACATCCCAGCTGGCCTGGGAAGGGAGTGGCAGAAGCTGTTGTGTCTGTCCCTCCTCTCCTGACCTGCTCAGCAGCATAGCACTAGGTCTGGGCTCCCTCACTTCACCCTGCTGTTGTGTACTGACCCCAACAATGTCATGTATAACTGGCATTGGGTGTGATGCTGTAGGATAAACAATGGATTGCTAACTTCAGAGCCAACAGCCACTCTCTGGAAACCCTACACAGGGTTGCTATGAATTGGAACAGACTTGATAACACGTAACAATCGGGAGCCAGATTGCCACGTCTCTTCCTATGAAGCTGCTGTGTAGGTTTGAACCACACAACCTTTTGGTTAGCCCCTCACTTTAAGGAAAGAGGTAATTCCTGGACCTCTTCTGTAAAGCATCCTTCAATAGAGGGCCTATGTATGGTATGGCCTAGGTCAATTCTCCAACTCCCTCAGTTCAGCCTCGTGCAGCTGACAGCAGAGGAACTAGAATCAGAAGACTAGTTCCAGTTTTGGTTCTGCCACTTTCCACTTACAAAGTTACAATGTCTCTTTTTGTAAATGTGTGATAGCCACCCCAACCTCAACCACATATTCCCACCTGATGTGAGAAAATATGGGAGCCCAAGCTGAGAATCAGCTAGTAGTAATTACAATGCTAATAATAAGCCAGTACCTTCAGTGCCTTATTTACTTCTTTTATGTCTTCCATCTTCAGCTTTGACCTAAAAAAAAAAAAAATACTATTCAAAAGAAGTGAGAGCCTAAAACAAACAGCAACTATGTGGATTTACAAGTTTGGGAGTAATATGAGTGTTAATTGTATTAGTGCTCTAAAATGCTACCTGGGAATGCAGTAGCTCCATAGGTAAGCACTGGATTGTAAACCACAAGGTTGGTGGACTGAGCACACCACTCTGAGAGAAAGATGAGGCCTCAACCCTAGGGCTTTTTCCTCTCCCTCTGACCACCGCTGACTGCAAACCAGAGAAGTTAACCTCATGTCTGTGTCTGCTTTCTCTACCTCTAGTTCTGGTCAGTGTACCTGGGCTGTCCTCACTCTGGCCTGCTCTGGGCACTGGCACTCCAGTGGGGCAGGGGGACACTGTAGGGGCAGCACTGAGGATTTGAGGCGCATGTCTGAGCCAGTCTTTCAGGTATGGAAGAAAGGAGTCTGGGGCAGAGCAATATCTTCATCAAACAACGACAGCCATGTTTTATCAGAGTCGACAGTTTCATTTTCCCCATTGCTTTTGTGAAACATCCTATCTACTGACAACAGCACAACAAACATCCTGGTCTGTTTTTCAATGGGGCCAGGCAGCCAACCTCAATTTCCTTTGTTTTGGCTCTAGGCTCCTGGCTCTAAAAGGCAGGGCCTGCTGAGGGGAGCTTCTCTCTCCCCAGGAAACAGGGCTGCTGAATCTAAATCTTCATCCTGGTGTCTGGCCTTGGCTTTTCTTGACACCTATCCTTGGAATTAAACTTTATTAGAGGTTTTTCAGGCTCCTAATTTATTTTTTCTTAATTGAACTTATTGCTATCATTTAAAAGTTGGGAAGTTGGAGGGAACAAATCTTTACAGCGAGGATTATTCCCATCCCCTCAATACACAGGGTAGTAGACAAGGATGGGCAACTTGTACATTGGCTACCCAAAATGGGGTGCTACAAAGTCAAGAAGTGACTGGCTTACAAGCTTTCAAGAGGGAGCCTAGATCCAGAGGGCGCAGAGGAAGGTAGAATCTCCACTGAGTAGTATCCAATCTGTCTAGGTGGGGCTGATGAAAGGAGATGGGGATGGCTCTCATGTGGCACAACAGTGAATAATTACTATCAGGACTGACTGTGAGGGTTGGAGCAAAATGAGGGGAGTGGTTGACTTTGCAGTCGAGGAGCGGAGGGCCCTGGGATCATCAAGGGACAAGAGCGGAATGCAGGACCCTACCCAGAGAAGCTGTGACACCAGAGATGGAGGCAGAGACGATGTGGAGACAGGGAACAGCTGGGGACTCTAGACCCAGAGAGGGAGAGGGGCTGTGTGCTGATGATGATCAGGGGGAAGGCTTGCAGGGTATACCCTTTGGTTGGCTGATGATGCATGGAGGGGATTGTAACCATGGCAATGAAATGAAAAGACAGGACAAATGTAAAGCTAATGTTATTTCATGTAAACTATCATGTAATTCACACACACACAAAAAAGCTGGGAAGTGAAAATGTTTGCTTGTCAGGTACTGAAAGAGTAAAAATCTGCTTGGATTGAAAAAAGGGAACAAGCACTCAACAGTAGTCAGGCTGAGGAGGGAAGTGATACAGCTAGAACAGTTGCAGTCAACTGGAAATAGCTCCCCAAGGCTGTACTACAGTGTGTTTAATGGTTCCTTTTTTGCAAGGCAGCTGGTTTTCTTACCAATAAGGCCCAGGCCGGGTTTGCTGTTCTGTATTCCTGGGGATAGCCAATTACTAAACTGCTGGGTCTTAGCACAGGACCCAATCCCTGGTTCACCCTTGCCTCTCCTAATCCCACCTCAGAAATGTTTCCATTTCTCTTAGCTTCAGAATCTGTTAAGGAAGTCCACACCTGGTAAGATGCTGCCCTCCTGCTACATGTGGTGGTAGCAGGCTTTCCAAAGCTCTTCAGGGTGTCCTCCCTCATTGTATCAAGAAAGTTCCTTTTGTCAGACTTCAGTTTTGTTCCTGGTGGTCTTTAGCTGCTGGGACTTTAATGGAGGTGGTGAGTATAAATCTGTTTCCAGCTTTGGTTAAGCCATGTCCTAACTCTGGCCATACTGGGCCCAGTCCCATAGTCAGCTTCAGGAAAGAAGGGAGCCCTTGGTCAGACAGGCCTGGCTTCCTGATTCCCCCAGTCCTGTTACTCCCATGTCCCTCTGACACAGATCAAGTGTCATCTGCTGCCCACACTTAGGGTCTGGCAAACTTTTTCTTTTACACTCTACTTGTCCTGTTTGTTTAAAGTTTTTGTTGTGAATTGAGTGAAAGTTTACAGGGCTTGTCCCATTTATTTATGCTTGTCTAGCTTTTCTAGATATGAGTCTTCAAAGCCATGCTTAAAACTTTTTATCCCCTGGTGACTTAAAGGATAATCTATCTACAATTCTACCACCTGTAATCCTGCCTGGGACACTAAAGGGTACTAAGTAAGCTTGAAACCCCTGTGAAGCAGGGTTCTGCTGGGCTGTTCAGGCAGGATGGGTCAGATATGGGCTCCAGCACTTAAATGGGCACCCCCTTAGATTGCGTGCATTCCTGTTCTAGCCAACCGATGACCTACCACACTGCAGGGAAGGGGTGAGGTCTGCAACTTCCCATGTGCTTAGACACTCCCAGTGTTCTCTTGATGCATAGGTGACTAGCAATTAGTATGTTCTAAGCCTCTGTGACTAGATTTGCAATTAAATGGTGATGGGGCACCCCTCCCCCCCATGAAAGGACTGCCGACACCATCAAGCGTCCAGGCTGTGGGAAGGAAGCTCTTCGTGCTCAGAAGACACACTTGCTCTCACATGTGTGGAGGGTGAGGGGATGCCCACTCTGCAGTCTCGGCTGCAGCATCACTTGCAGTAGCACAAAGTGGAAATAATAACACTGCTCACAAGCCTAGGATTGAGAAGTAAGTTAATGCACATTCTTTCAGGGGAAGACCTGAAGTCCTTAAAAGAATGAGGCAGTTCTGTTTGGTGATATGTAAAATTGTCTGTAGCCGTTAGCTGCCATCTTGTACAATGGGATCAGACTACTGTGATCCATAGTATTTTTGTTGGCTGAGTTTCTAAGATCACCAAGCCTATCGCCCTAATTTGTCTTACTCTAGAAGCTCTACTCGAAAGCTGCCCTATATCAAAGCAACATACAAACTTCCAGACAGGTGAGAATTTTACCACTGAACCACAAAAGTGTCTTAAGAGAAACTTCTAAGACAGAAAGAAAACCAGTGAGGAGAGAGTGCTCCCTTTTAGCCTAGAGACCCACGACACATAATTAATATGAAAAAATTTCTCTACATGGGTTCACTAGAGACTATAAACAATGGCTGCCTCTAGGGAGAATTGGCATAGTGAGTAAGGAGAAAGGTACTATATGCCTTACGTGCTGACAAAAACCAAAGATAAATAGGACAGAAGAGTGACCAGGAGTGCAAACTGTGTTCTGGGAATGGCTGATGGAGTTAGAAATGGCTGGTACAGAAAATAGGAACTGGTCATTGGGTGGGATGAAGGCCATCACCCCAAGGTGCACCGTAGGTGGAGCCCAGTCCACACATTTCCTGCCAACTTACTTAAAGAATCAGACTGAGCACTGGTTGTGCAGGCTCCCATGATTGGCCATGCTTCTGACACTCCAGGCTCAGGTGCGCCTGTCCTTTGCTACGGACACAGCCTCAGCTGGGACCTACTTCAAATTCCTAAGATGGTTTATCATCCAAGAACTGATACATCTTCAATGTCTGCTTTTCCATGGTATCATACTTGCTCATTTATGATTCTCAGAGTATCAGAGTACTAATGCTACCCCCTCCCCAAATCCAAGATTTGTTCATTTTCTAAACTCCCCCATGATTGTATTTCCTATGCCCTTCAAGTTTAAACGTACTTCTAAAGCTGAAATAGTTTCTTTTTAGGTTCAGAAACATTCACATGTTCCTAAACTCTTGTTATTGCCATCACGTTGATTCTGACTAATGGTGAACCGATGTGTACAAAATAAAACCACTCCATAGGGGGTTTAAGGCGGCGACCTTTTGGTAGCAGATCACCAGACCTTTCTTCTGAGGCGAATGTGGGTGGGTTTGAATCACTAACTTTTTCACTAGTAACTTTTTACACCACCCAGGGACTCGCCATATCCTCTAGAATAAGTGCTGTTTCAAGTGTGGTCTGCAAACTGACTCTCAGGCATTTTTTTGTTTCTGGTTCATGCCAAGACAAGGAGCTTGTGTGAAAATCAATTATATACGTCACTAACTGGTCTTTCAGCAGGCTGCCACACCAAAGAAGCCTTTGTGGGTCTGCACTCTGGCCCGAGTTTCTCATGCCATGGCTGCTTCTTAAATCACTGCTCTAGACCTTCTAGCGCTCTAGACTCAGATGCAGACTCCTCATCTTACATCTACCTACTACTTGAGGACATTTCTAATTTCTAAGGATTCCTCTTTTGTCCCTGTTTCAGGACCTTTCCTACTATACTTAGTGCTGGGTCTGAGTGCTGGCGGTGCTTGTCCCCAGGGTCTACCCTGTATTGTCACAGCGCTTGTGATGGACTCATCACAAGCTGCAAGTCAGCTGGGGCTTCTGTGGGAGTTTGGGAGAAAGAGGGACTTTCACTGCTCTGGCAGATTGCAGGCTCAGCCCTGCTGGGGCATCTTGGCCAGAGGGCCAGACCCGCCTCTGTGACACATAACAGAGAAGACAGCAAAGGTAGGAGGTGGAGACTGATTCCTGAGGGCTTTTTTTGCTTGAGCAAATTTGAGTTGGATTTCTGCACTTGCAACTAAAAATCTAGATTCACAGAGAAAAGGCTACTGCTAGGAGGAAATGGAGAAATCACACAAATGAACAAGTTTCACAAGATGGCGGATCGGGTGGATGTGTAGTGAGGAGCTCGGTCAACAACAACACGGAATACCGGGTCAGGAGGACTCATGAGTTGGTGTTGGAACTCTGTAACAAATATAAAGGTATGTTTGGAGGTTCGGAGGGTTTATAGCTGGGGAATTTGCAGGAGAATCCA